GGGGGAAATCAGGGAAGGTTATTTGAAGCCTAAATCCAGGCTCAAGAGCTTAGTCTTCATGCCACCAGTTTTCAATCGTTGACTAGAAAAGTATAAATATATGTGAATAAGAAGAAATAGAGGCCTGATCCTGCAGCTTTTATTTGGGCAAAACTGCTATTGTAGCCAACAAGAGAATTTTAAGTTGTATAAAAATCACACACTTAGATTCACTGATTGCTCTGGTTTGGCTCAGGTTGCTGTTTTACTGTGCTGTTTCCAGTCCTGGATTTTGATCAAGAATGGATCATTTGAGAAGGAAATTCAGTTTTACAGGTGCAGACTGCAGAGTACGCTATGCAATACCTCAAGAGCAGCATCCAGTATTCTTTATTTCTAGGAAAAGTGCCACTTGGTTGGACTACAGTCCTTATACATTATGGCAACAACTACGTTCTTTTTCAAGAAACCATTGGAGAATAACTTTGATTTGACTGGCGTATTGTATGGCAGAAACAATGGCTTGCCATAACAGTCTCAAGAAGTTAATATTATTTTTTTACCCGATTACCTTGCTGCAAGTTTTCAAATAAAATTCAAACAAAAGGCTCTTAGTTTCATTTATGATGCCCCTGATTTCACATCTTTTTTAATATAAACCTGTACACATAGCACAATATACAGTTTATGGCTCTACTGTGTCAGTTTAGGATTCAGAGCATGTTTTTCATCCTACATTCTTCTTTATGCCAAGGCAGGAGCACTGGCTGATGAGTATTCTCCCTCCAAGTTCCAAATGCATCACCTTGTGCTGATCTTCCCTATACGTTATTCATGTGCAGATTTCAAATGCTGTCTGGGGATCCCCGTTATTATTTTAATCACTTAAGGAAACCACCCACAGATCCTTGGGCTGCAAAGACTCTGACAACTACAAAGGTAGCAGCAATTAAAGGCACAGCCATCCTCTGGATTTTGAGTTACCTAAGCCCTGCAACTACAAAACAAGTGCATTATTGCCCCATCCTGTCCTCCCCAAGATGCAACTTAAAAAAAGTGGGTGGTGTTTTAGCCCCAACCTCTGTTAGCATTGGAGTCATGCTAGGAGTGTGCTATAAAGGAGTTAGAGTTCATTCCCTCCCGTACGCCCTTGCGCACACCAAAATTTATATTTTGTTTGCTTGTATCCTTTCACACTATAACCTCAGCTTGGCCACTCACAGGTCCCCATCCTCCACTCCCCGCACCTGCTAAAATATGCCTTAGAAAGCGTACTATGAGTCAGACTGCCTGACCAAACAGATGCTGGGGTTCACCTTGGAACTGAAAGTGCCACTCAGCAAGTAGCATCACTCAAGCCTCTGTGAAGTGGGAAATCATCTTGTCTCTCTTACTACTGTCTATATTACATTGTGGAGACAACCTAAATAGCCTCCCCTAAGACCATGCCTGCAGATATTAATTCAACATGCATAGCACAGCTTCCTCAAAACAGTCAACTTTTACTAACACTACTGCTGGTGTTCTAAGGCGGTCTTCATATCGTCTGCTACTGGAACAAATGCATCTGGCTAACCAAATCAAGGGCAAACTATTCTGCAACTCCAGATGCCAAGGTGAAGGCAATTTAAACTAAAAACTACTGCACTTCAGTGCTAAAGCAGAAGTTACTAGGAGATGGAGCAATGATAATCACTCTCCATTCTCTGGCTCCAAAAACTGGAAAGAAAACCCATCGTGATATAAAGGCATAAGCACATGATGTGTTCCAACAATGCCAAACAGAAAAGTGCAGAACCCCTTCCCATGAATGACCCAGAAGCCTAAAGTTTCAAAAGCAACTAATAATTTTAATGTGCCCTACCTGAGGTGCTGGAATGGACAGCCTCTTTTCCCAACCTCTGAAAATCCTACCCCTCCCAGAGCACATCTATACATGCACTTTACTGTGCAGTAGACTAATTTGCTGCACAGTAAACAGAAGTGTTGCCGTCTACACATGCATGGCAATTAGGCCGGTGTAGACTAATTTACTGCAGTTGGATAGTCCTGTCAGACACGCATATTATTCAACACCAGAAAAAATTACTGCATTTAAATGCCCATGTAGATGGTGACATCTGGATTAGTTTACTCTGGCTCAAATTGTGCCAGAGTTTATTCAGTCGAATTAATTACATGTGTAGACATGCCCCCAGTGTCTCAAGTTAGACAGTCAAAAATCTCTTTTATAATTTTACTCCCCTTCAAATTAATAAGTGAACATGCAGGATGAAGAGTATGAGACTGATGTTACACAAAAGGTAGTCTATCCATATGTCTGAGGGATGCAGTTCACTTTTAATCAGGAGATGCTGTAACACTTATGGTTGGTCTTGTATATAATGGACTCTAGCCCAGGGATGCAATCATCAGGGTTTGCACCTTGGGTAGCAGTGACTACCATTCATGTACCCACTCTAACTGGATATTCCAGGGCTAGTGCCCCAGTTACCCACCCCTTGTTATATTACTGCTCCAGCCCATAACACAAGAACCTCTGCAGTTATAAGTCGAGGGGACTTAATGGCATTGGAAACTGAAATACTTTCTCTAGGATGAAAACCAATCGGGAAACAGCACAAGGAAGTTCCCATTCTCATTGCCCTGTCTGTGCTGGTCCAGCAGACATCAGGAAAACTTCTCCCATCCAGAACTAATGCACATACACAGCGTATGCTTTCCTGGCACCCAAAATTACCATCCTTCATTGTGAACCTCTTTTTGATGCCAGGTATTAAAAAGTTAAAAATTATAAATTTGTAATGCAGCTGAAACCAGAGCCTCACTCTTCTCAGAACATGATGAGAGATGGCCCCTGCCCTGAAGTGCTTACCATCTATGTAGACAAGACAAGGGAGGAAGAAGAGGTGAAGTAAATTTCCTGGAGTCAAACAGGAAGTCAGTGGCAGAGCCAAAGATAAATCCCAGTTCCCCCATCAGTACCCTGTCCACAAGGCCATTCAGACTCTCTAGTATTAAAAACTGATCAACTTCTAGCAAACTTTATCAACAACCAAGATGAAATCAAATTATGTCTCCATAATACTATATCCAGCTCTCTTAATACCTCAACATGGATGAAAAGTGATTGCAATTCCTTCCTGCAACATTCCTGTTTATTTTGTAGTAGCTCTTCAAACTGGGCTAAATTTTAAAGTGAAAAGTAACAGGCTCTGTAGGTGAACAAAACCCCAAGGGGTCACATTTTCAAGAGTGCTCAGCTCCCACACAAGGGGCTGTGTTCACAAGAGAGCTCTCATCTCCCATTTGAGCCAAGGCTATACAGGGTTTTCCGACAATACAAGATGGATTAAGACCTATGGCAGTGCACTGCTCTGGTTGCAGCAAGCCTCCCTTTCAGACTTCTTACTTATGAACATGTATAATGGAAAAAAACTGCCTTCTCACCACAAGCACTATAGCTCTCTCCCCCCATCCTTCCTTCCAAAGGGAGGCGTTAGCACTTTCTGTAGTCATTACAGATGTCCGTTTCATTAGCTTTTTCTTTAGCTGTTACTTTCAATAATGAAAGCCACTGCAAAAAAAAAAAAAAAAATCTTCTCCACCTTGTGTTTACAACTTTTAAGAAAATGGAGAAATTAGGTATGCACAAATATCAAAGTAAATGGGCCATTTTATCTT